CAGGTTGTGACTTCACCTCGTCAAATTATTTAACAGCGTTTTGAGCTAGAATTGCCAAAAACTTGCTACAAATCTCGTAGACCTTAGCCATTTATGGCTTATTGCACACTTAAAATATGGAGTGATTATAAACGAGCTATGTGCAGTTGCACTCCTGTTGTGAACCACTTAAATGCATGATTAAGTGATAACTTTAAAATGTCCTCACAAATGTTACTTCCTACTAGGCAGAATTTACTTGAATCGCATTTAACAAGTTGTAGAGTAAAATTTTCCTGAAAATGGTATTTTGTGTTGAATAATATTCCCTATCAAATCTAGATCAGTAGGTTTGCCCACAAAATGCAAATAAATTGCTACTTTATTAAAATAAGTAGAAATACTTGTTGCATTTGCCGATTTTGTTACAACATGGGATCTAGTATTGGAGTTGGGGTAATGTTTACAAAACATTTCTGCTATTTTTATTCTACCATGGCACATTGGAATTGCGGCTTGTTGTATGAGCATGAAGTGGGATTTCTGGTCATCCTAGTTTCAAGATCGTTCGGATTCGCCATGAGGAGTTTTAAGGAAGTTACACGCTTGTTGGGGTTTGAGATTTACTGTTACTGCAGATTCCTAGGTGCTACATAGGTTTACACCTAAGTACCAAACGGACCTTTGTTTGTGTGAAACAATAAGAAATACAATCCGAAAAAAACTCAGTTCGCCTCGCCATACTTTTACATCGGATGTTTAACTTACGTCAAATTTCGCCTCGCCATGTCAGGAAGTGATCATATGCTGGCGCATCCAGTAAACAGACTCTATATGATAAAAAAGCGTTGGAATACTAAAGCTTTAGACAAATTTCGTGGGTATGTTAGAAGATTCGTTTAAGCTGATTAGTTAGAGGATGGCTGGGTGTGGTGGAACTTCTGATTAAATAATGGCTCATCACCTCATTCATTTCTATATAATTCCTCACCTTCCTTTTCCTTGCAAATAACCCGATTGACTAATGAAGACTGGCTTGACTAATCACCCAATCAAGATAGTCTACATTAATGTGGCTCTTCTCGTAGAGGGTGCCACTGATGAGTAATTTGCATCGTTTTGATAAGAAGTAATATTTTAGCCTTTACGGCTCAAAGGTGCCAGTTTTGCGATACCTGAAACAGCTGTATAGAATTTATTCGTGCAAAATGCAACCCAGGAAGTGGTTTTTGGTTAGATCGGTACAGTTCATATGGTCAAGACGCTGAAAAATGGCTTGTTCGGATGTCACCCTCATTGACCGTATGATCATGAATATTCTATAAGAATTTCATTTAAGATTATGCTAGAGGGGACGATAAAAACGAAGAACTAACTTCTTGGATTTTCATACGCACTACCTGAGTCACCTGTAACTGGTTTGACCATTGAGCAAACCAGTGTTTGCATCCAGTCGTGGCGCCTTGTGTTTTTAATACACCCACAGGACATTCAATTAGATCGTGCAATACTTTTCAAGTGCCAGATTTCGCAACTGGATTTTTAAGAATAGCTGATATCAGATTGTACAGCATTATCTTGTATGAACATGAAGTTTTTGCTTAGTAAATACAGTTGTAGCAAGTGAGGAAATATGCCATCATCTCGAAGATACATTTTGCATGGAAATCTCCCTGCTATTTCAGCTGAAGGGTCCTTTAAAATAAACTTCACACGCATTATTTAATAAAGGGCCCTTATATGCCATACTAGAACCTAGGTTTTTAATTATTTGCTGAAGAGGGTAGCTGCCAGTGTGCCCATTACTTCACCACTCAGTCATTCAATTGCCATGGCTTTGTCGTTTTGCATGACAGTTCGGGAATGGCCAACTAGCTACGTCAGAAGGTAAGCTGTAGAGCTATCTCTGTGGACATTTATCTTTACGTAGGCAAAATATGTCCGCCTTCGATCAGTACAATAGTCAGAATGGTTGATTATTTCAGGTTTTAGCATGGAGGCCGTAGTTAACCACTCAATGACCCCGAGTGGCTAAAGGTTGACACGGTTAAACCAGCCATCAGCACCAATGTGACTGTTTTGAACCCACCAGATGAATATCTCTTTTCATGATTGATGAAAATTTCAATGAATAAGCACCAAAAAATGGAACTGCTTTACCATTTCAAGTCAAAGCTCAATTTTTTGCCTGTGGTTTGTTGTTTTAACCCATGTATGACAAAATTCTCACCAAAATAAAGGCCAAAATGGAGAGTAATTGGTTTTAAGAAAGTTTTGCTGACTCTGATAAACACCACTTTCAGATTTATGACTGACTGTGAAAGTGGGTTACAGCGCAAGCTACTTCCACATTACCTTTATTCCAATTTAGTTTAGAATAAATGTATCCACACATTATGTTAGAAATGGAGTATATGGAACAAAGCCAGCGCAGTATTGCCGTGAAAAGTCTTTTCGGAGAGTCTGTTGAAGTAAATGGTTTAATTGTGGTGCCTCTAGACTTGCCTGAATATAAAACAGAATTTATGCTGACAACGTACAGAAGGGCTTAAGGGCTACTAGCATAACCCTAAGGTCAGGTTGATTTATGGATGTGAAACAGCGGAGCCCTAAGTGGAACCAGAGTTAAAAAACCAACAAAGTATTGCACAATCACTATGTTTAGTTGGTAAACTATTGAATACGACGGATGAATATCCAGACCCAATTTATGTAATTACTTTCAGAACAGTTGTTTCTGTAAGCATCATCTTCTAAGAGTATTGACCCGGCTTGATCAATTATGTTCAGCAGCTCCTTTCCACAATGATTTATTCCAAATCCACCAATCAGTTGATGAGGTTAGGTTATTTGGAAACGATGTACAATTTCAAAGTAAGCTAGACAGCGGAGATAATTTATTGGCCTATCAGTTTTGGTAAGTATTCAACACTTTCTCCATTTTGCTGCAGAATTTCATAGGAATTATATAGAACAATTTAGCATGACTTAGTACGGTAGTTCACCATTTTACTGTGACACCGAAGAGAGACGAGCTCTATTGCCTTGACATTTCCACCTTAACGTAGTAAGACCCTCCTTGTCCCGTCTTATATCAAACCATATCAAATGTTATCTTTAATCAATATCTAGTTTGAGACATAAGTCTTTTTTATAATTTTTATCATGTGTTTTAACACTCCGAGGTAAGACAACGATGCGAAGGAGACATAAGAGCCGACAAGTAAAAGAAGATACCGGAACGTGTTGCTGAGGTCATGGTCAAATTTAGGTCAGCAATTGAACAGCAATTACTCAGATAGCTGCCGAAGCATGTGAGGTCAAATGTGATCGCTTATCTGTCTCGAGTGTCTTACGATCAACACGTATGCCTGCTTCGCCTGCTAGTCTGTCTGTTACCACTTGATCTGGGCTAGTGGCTATAAG